ATAGGATTAAAAGATACTGGCTGAAAGGGCAATACAAGATAATTTCAAGGTGATTACGTGATAAACTCTGTGGTAATAAGATGAGTACAACATTTGGGACAGTCCTATCGAAGTCAGCAACTACGGAGTAAGAAAAAGGGGTGAAATGATAACACTGATAAATAAGATGTCTTGGGGAGATTGTGACCAGGATGGAATTAGAAACCGGACGTACCTCTTTTGAGTGTAGCGAACAGGCTTGAACTTATATGCTCCTAAGGCTTCTATTGTATTCGGATGGCAAATTAGTACTCCTTTCGAAGTGTTTGGTTTGGCTTTATGAATGATGGGAGGAAGTTTTTAGTGGAGCAGAATGACCAGATTTAACCAGATGCTCAAGAATCGAACTGTTAACACTTTAAATTCTTCTCTAGACAACCATCTAAGTGTTTGGAGATGCGTTTAGATACAGCACTCTTTATGTAGCCTACATATCCATCTCTACAAGAGTAGATGAAGTGATAAGTACACATGGAGGTTTCCCCAAAGAGGAAGTTTGGCGTTTAAGCATCCCCGAAAACAATCCGAAGTTGGGCGGAAAAGAAGTTCTCCTTCAGTACTTCTCACGAGTAATTCTTGATTATCTCTACCATTGTATCTCCTTTAAATGCAATATTCATAAATACTGTTCCTTTTGGAACCGTAATGAGTTCCTTCTTGGTAATGTGTAGGCTTCATGTTCTTCTCAAAGAATTCTGAAGGATAACCATTCTCAATGAACACCATTTGAAGTACTTCCAGCCCCTCACTTATTGCATCATCTGTACTAATTTTACCAATCCATATTGATAGTCAATCAATTATTTGTTTATCTTCTTACTTAAAAGAACCCAACTTTAAAAATTGGTGCATTGTCTATTTTAGGTATGCTTCCTGTAAATTGATCTTTTTATGGAACCATTATTTCTTCTTCTCATCAGGATGTCCTGGAAGTGGAATCCTGATTTACTTTCAGTTCTTGTGTTAAATTTAACTGACCTATAACATTCACTCAACCTGCCTAGTACATCTCCAAGGTTACTGTTCTCCTCACGAATGATAGAAGCTTCATCTATGTACCTCCCATGGCATCAGCATCATGAACATCAGGGTAGGACCGGACATTACTACATAACGGTCTGGGTTGTCGAATCTCATACAAGCAAACCAAGTGAGAAAGCACTAAGATGAGAGATAAATAAATAAAGAGCAATAGGTCAGAGACAGTAGAAAGTAATAATAGACAGGAAGGGGGAATAAGAAAATGCTGAATTCACTGTGACGATTATGATTCAGAAAATTTGTGGGTAAATCTGTGCCAATGAGATTGACTGATTTTTGTTGTCACGTTGGCCCCAACTGGGTAGTCTATATTTCCATACATGGATCAAACCAACAAATTAAGACTTCACTCAATAATGGTATGTTTTAATCTGGCTGCCCTAATCATTTATCAATCTAAACGTACTTCATTTAGGACCGCGTCACGAGCCAGATGGGGACTAGGCATATCCCAGCCGCCTGAACCTATAAGGCCTCACAAACTCATTGAGTGACTTTCGTTTCCTCCATCAACTCTACACCTGCGCTACTGATGTCGTGATTCCACTATACGGCAATTATGGTCGGACACCTGAAGTTTTCTCATGTTCTCTACCTTCAAAGACCAGGTTTCACGGCCAGGAAGTAGAAGAACAGAGCTAACTATAGTCCAGTATTCTGGCCCCTTAGTCGTCAGTCAGATATTACAGTGGCACTGTATATCGCGGAAGTGGTCAATCAATGCATGCAGTTTACTTTTCTCCAAAGTAGCCATGAAGCAATCAGCTAAGAGAGGATCGAATAGTAGATCGTTTACCACTCTATCCTTTTGTGAATAATGTTCATTATCAAGTCTGAATTTAAACATCAAAGGGCAGTTCTTTTGGAAAATGCTTAGGAAATCCAAATTCAAGTGTTTTAAATCTCTATGTAATCATATAGATAGCCGATTGTGAAGAGGGACATGACGTCCAGTGACAACATACTCTTCCCAGACAAAATGACTTATCTTGTATAGTTAACGAAATCGAATGAGGTCGGCGTAATGTAATTATTTATTTAATTTTTCCCTAGCATTTACTCCGTGAATGTACAGCGAATACTTCCAGTCAAGCTGATTTGTACTCATTTATTTTTTCTTTCAAACATTTTATCTAGCAAAATTTCTTTTGTGGGGCTTATCACCTCAATAAACCCAAAGGACTTTCATATATTTGGTTATATTTTCTCCAGTTTTTAACTCTGTTGATAAGATAACCCATAAAAACAAAAAGTTGAAATTCTCCTGAATGATAATTAAAATAATTTTTTGCATCATATGATTAATATTATCAGTTATACTGCATTCATAAATATCAAATTAATTCTACAATTATGCTTGTGCCTGTGAATATATCGTCATTGGAATGATAGGTGTTTGTTTGTTTGTTAGTTGTTTGGTTGTCATATCTAAGGCTGCACATCTGAAAATTGCATGCACAATAGTCAGTTGTGTCTTTACCCACTATGGTTTCGCTACATGAATATACATATATATGTTTACGTCGATAGTCAAAGTGAGCCATACACGTTAATCATTGAACACATGAACATCTTTGTTTAAGTGATCTCATTTAAATCTATCAGAACGATGCTATTTGTGCACAGTAAAACTTCGGAACACTAAGTGTACTAAGGGTAGGAGGGAATAACAATTGTTATGTTTTGCAGTATTTGACAGCCACCTAGTTTATTTCTTGCTTCTATTATCCTCACATAATCTGTAGAGAAGATTAATAATTAGGGTGGTAATCGGTATTTCTGGATAGTCTCGTTACCTCTTCTAAATCACCGTCATCTATCACAGTTATTACTGTTAGTACTGATTATAGTTGCACCCTCGCTTGTAGCCCAACAGGAGAGTCTGCAATGTGATAAAGGAAAAAAGATAAAAAAGACGCACTAAATGCTTCTGTTTACATTAGTTCAAACCACGAGTAGAGAAAAACAAAGATTTGTGCACATAGATATAAGATAATTAAAAATGCTGCATATTTTCTGGGAGGCTTGTGAAAAATTAACAAAATACACCTGGCTAACAAGTATGTTTATGAAAGACACTAAGAGTGAAAATCAAGGGCATTGACAGTGTAAACTGACATAATAAAACAACTGTGAAGTGAAGGCAAGAGATAATAAAAATTGTGCAATAAAGACAACGCTGTGCTTGTGTGTGTATGTCTGTTAATAATCTATTTATTGATATCGACTGCACTACTGGACAGGCAGATATGTGTATATGATTTCTGATTTGCCGCAGAATTATTATAAGCAATTTGTTTACACTATCCAGTTCCTTATCTCTTATTATACTCAGTACGTCAAGAAGAATAAAATTTTGTTTACATTGAAGAGGTTTTCGCTTTTTATCTGTCTCTTCGGTGTACTACATTCCAGTCAAATCAGTTTATGTATCCTTCTGAATGGCTGAATGTCTGCATTTGCGTATGCATTGAGTGTATCACGATGTACTTGGTTATTTATGATAAATTAATATATGATTAACTAGACCAAACCTAATAAGGCTTAATTAGCATATCTTCTATGAATTGTAGTCCATATGTTGCGTCATAAGGGGTTCGGCTTATGTTTTGTTTCTCTGCTGCCTTTGGTTCTCATGTGCTGAGCTTTGCTTGCTGCTTCACAAAGTGATGAATCCGTTATCTTCATCATCAGCATTCACAGTGGTGTATTCTCCTTGATTTAGTAGATTGTGGATGATTGATTTATTCCATTCTTCCTTATTGGTCACATATTATAGTATATTTATCAACCTGCTGTTCAGTCAGTGTGGAATTAGAGGAGTAGAATTGGGTAAAAAGTGTGCCAGGTTTAATAATTTGCTTAGTTTTAGGTGTTAAACTCAAAAAAAAAGGATAAAATTAGCATAACATCCACTGTTTGGCTGAAAATACTTACCGTCCTATAAAAGTGTTAGACTTAGCTGTAAACCAGGTGGACCACTATCAACCTCAGTTATATAGTTCGATGAATATAAACAAGAATAAAATCTTAATTCACTCTTGTATAATCAGCTGACCAAAGTCATCTTGTACAACATACATTACGTTATGATGTCAGACAAGCTAGCCTAGTTACTATGTTGCATTGATTCAGCCACGATTAAAGACCTTAGTCAGTATTTTGGATTCCCAGATTCTTCACACTGTTCATTCCAACTGGTTGTCGTATTTTAGGGCATCGGTTTTGTACAGATGTAGCGTACATAATTCCCTAAAATCAGTAGCCTAGGGTCCGGCGAGATCCAACAGTGATACTGACCTTTATAGTTTTATGAGACTCGCTAAGCCGAAGGCACTTGGCACGTTATCGTGTTACATTGCACTGCTTGTAGTCGATCCTTTAGCCAGCTAGTCGGAACGCATCAGTATTTTGGCTGAACTTATTAAATATACCATCCGCATTTGACTACACTGTTGTGTTCTTCCTTGGTCTCGCATTCTTGGGTACAAGTACGAAAAATTAGCGATTGGCCCCTGTGTCCGTCAGGTTAGCACGAGGAAAATTTCCAGTCAGACATTACAAGACTTTTGAAACTTCATAATAGTTGTCTTTAATTGGTAATAGATAGGGAAGAGACTGAGGTTACACATTTCCTTCAATTAAGGGCTTGCCGGCTGATTGTCCTGATATCCCATTGCACTTTTAGTTTATTCTGGATTAACAAGTAGCCTGTATATCTTGAACTCAACTGTTAGTCATCACTATATCTATTATCGTCCAACTGCTCATAAATTTGTGATATAGACTGAAATGATAGTTATATACAAACAATTGTAAATATTAAATTACTTCTGAAATTAAAGCATTACACTTTTCTTTGCTTTTTTCAATTGTATCTACGAAATAAGTTATTGAAAAACCACATTTTCCCTTCATAGATGAACTCAAACAACAGCTGAATAATGAAGAGCTCAAACTATCCATCAATCAAAATAATGGTCAGTCAAATGGAATTCAGCGAGTTTCACAGCTTTTTAAATTTACTACTAATCCACCATCGTCGAATATAACTCCAGCTGTGAGTTTTTCCACTGATAAACGTGGTTGTAATTAAAAATACTGCTGAACTTATTAACGCCAATTAGTATTATTAGTTCAGCTGTTTAATACAAATATATGCTTTTATGTTAATCTAATTTGTTTGAATACAAGGTAGAATTGATTGGTCAGTTATTATAGATGGGATCCTATGATAAATGCTTTCTCTTCCAACTCTTCACTGTTCACATAATATCTCATTTTTATAAAAGAAAAAACACTAATCACACTTCACAAATGAAGTGTGAAGTAATTAATTCTTTTAAATTACTCAGTTTTATTCGTATTCATACTTTTAATTGAATGAAAGTTTTCCTTAAGAAGTGATTGAAAATTCATACATACAAAATAATTTGAAAAAGAAGTGACTCATGGAGACTCTAAAAGTGTTTGCACAAATGAAATTTACACGTTCCGCAGAGCTGAAACAGATCTGGTTGTTGTCAAAGTTGTGTTGAGATAAACACGACGCCACAATCTAAAATTCGTTGAATTTAGTTGATCGTGATAATTATGAACAATAAAATTTAATGTATTTTGAGGTTAGTGGGATTTTCATTTTCAGGTAGTATTCATCACGAAATGACATCACTTGGAGAATCACTGAAAACTTGGGAGCACTGGACAGCTGTTTCGTTCTAGAATGGGACTTCTCAGCTGTACGCATTCATGATCCGGCCAGGGATCAAATTCATGACCTCTAGGTTTCGAGTTGAACACGTTCTCTATTCAGCCACTGAGTCGGAGTTAAATGGTCCACAGTTTCCAACTACTTTCAATTCGCGATATAGAGCGACTATCATCCAAGGTCTTCAGTTGGCATCCGCTTCTCTTCCGACTAGTTGAGCCCACAGTTCTCAGCTTCCTATTAGACCTTTGGTGACCCTAGGTGATAGTAGCTCTATATTGCAAATTGGTAGAAGTAGGAAACTGTGAACCACTGAACTCTGACCCAGTGGATTAATTGATTTCGCTGTGAAACCTGAAGCTCCTAGGTTCGATCCCTGAACGGGTTGTGGTTGGATACTGCTGAAGAGTGCCATTCTAGAACGAAACAGCTATCCAGTGCTCCCGAGTTTTCAATAATTCTCCAAGTGATGTCAGTCTGTGATGAATACTACCTCAAAATAAAATTTAAAGTAAAAAGAAGTGCAGTAATTTATAATTGTGGTTACATATTCTAGATCTTGGAATGGTCAATGGATCAGTTTCTTAGTGAGAAGAAATGTTGAATAAGTGTTAATTCAATAACGTTTGAGTGGGAATTTACAGTACATTACTAATTTCATCAGAAAATCCATTCACTATCAGCATTAATAAATGATACGATCTAGTGTTTTTTTTCATTTTAATGTATCTCAGCCTTTTATACAAAACTCAAACTGTTCAGAAGTAAATGCTAAGTTCGTAAATCATTTCAAAATAAGATGGTTCATACTGAGTAAATTTCTCTACGGCCCAATTGTTGTGCCAATAGAATTTTCCCTGAAAACTACATAGAAACGCTAAATATGATTTCCAAAATAAAACCATTGTGAGCTATTAAAATATACTACTACTGAGATATATAAGTAGCCAAAACTCTATTATACTAATCTGTGGATTTCACAAACAAGATTAAGGTGATGTGAACGAATAACAAGCAGTTCGCTGTTTCTATGTAAGGATCATCAGTGGGATACCCAAAAATCAAACCCACTCAATCTTGCTGACTACGAATGAGCTGACCAATTCGTCATTTAATCGCCAACTGTATTCTTCATGTTGATATTTCACGTAAACGAGTAGTTTTTCAACTGTCCTACTATGGTTTCAAGACGGTTCCTGCTGGAAAACAACCAGCTAAAACTACACTGTTTAGTCTCTGATACAGAAGCTGTATGCTTTAACGGAACACACCAATAAAAAGCATGAGTAATTAAAAATCACTAAGGGGGATTTTCAGATTAGGTTTCTCAGACTGAAGCGACTTTATTGCTTTCTGATGTTTTGAAGCTTAGCTCATCAATGATGTTTTCAGGCGAATTCTAGACAAAATTGAGGTATTCAATCAGACATGACAGCATTGTCAATTTTCTGGTAGGCAACAGCTCCGGAAGTTTTCTCTTTTCCCATTATGGGTAAAATAATTCAGAACTTGATCATATCTAGAGTTGGCAGAGAGGTAAGTAAGAAATCTGTCAATGAGTACAGAGTTTTCATCATGGATACTGGTCAAAACTTTGTGGTTGTACGTAAAAGATGTTAGAATTGTGTATCATAAACTAGAAATTTAAATTATAGAGCTGAGAATTAGCTGCAGAGCCATAATAACCAAAAACGAGGACAAATTCTTTAGCCTTTCATTATTTTTAGCTTCTTGAGGATTTTTCAAGTTCGTATTCATCATGGAATCACATGATTTGGAGGGATATCAGAAACCCAAGATTCGAATGTTCCTCTAACTGATGTGGTTTAATGATGAACACCAACTTGAAAAATCACTAAATCCCCACAAACTCCCAAATTTCATTGAGGATTGTTAATGTACTTAATACCGAAAATCAGGATTTAAAGAGTTAGAGTAGTATTCATAGTTTAGCATGAGGGTTGATACTCCGATACTAAACCACAAATCTATGAGTTCTTTATTCTCAACTTTCTTGACTTCAAAAATTCCCAGATACAAAGAAAACCTTTCAGTTTTTAATTGTTTTGAAATTTGCCATACTAATCCTAAAGTAATATAGCCAAAATACCTGTTGGCTTCACGGTACGACAGATATCTAAAGGCCACCCAGTAAATCCGTCAAGTATGACACGATTATGAAGTTCTGTCGAAATTCAGTACGCAGTTGGCATGCATAAACGTGTACGCCCTGAAATGGATAATCAGTTTGCAAAATCTTTATAGTTTTCATTATCTATATTGATATTTCTGATATCTAGGTAGTTTTTGTCAACTACGGTGTTAGATCATTACGACGAAGATCCTAGAAAACACAATCAAGCTTAATTAAATTTCACCTATTCAGCTCATTTATATGTCTTCACGGAGATATTTAAGAAGGTAGAGAATCAGTATTCACTCAAGCCATCATTAAGGTATACAGTTGTTTCAATATGGAAATGAATCATTCGGAAAATCAGGCAAATAATTCGCTGCATCTGTACTCGAAAGCTGGCAATTTTACAGATGGATCATTCACTGCTAAGTAGGACATATCTAGAATTTTTTAAATAAATGACCGCTAAAATACAGTAAACCAGTCCTCTTGGTGAATAGAAATTTTTTCTTCGTTCAATAACAGTTCAGTTCATCATTTCAATAATCATTATAATCTTCCTTTTCTTTTCATAAAAACTCTATCACTCTGTGTAGAAATTAAACTATTAACTGCATTTAAACTTGTTATTAAAACAAATTATACAGGTGTACTCGAAACTAACTATATTCATATCCAAATTTAGACTGACATTTCAGAAGGAGTTCACATGCCAATAGTCTCCAATATAACTACATCTACGTGGAATGTTTACAATATCGGTGAACCACTAGAGGAGGTGGGCCAAAAATACGACATGAAGATTTCAATAGAAGGTATGTTAATTCGTATTTGAATTTTTATCACAGATTGATAAAACGTATGAAACTGCATGAATTTACTTCGCATTCTATCTTCGGAAGTACATATGAATTCATTCTGACAGTATTCAAAAAATAATGATACCATGTTGCTACTTAATATTTGATAAGTAGTAAAGTTTGTTATTCGAAAATCATGTTGGAAAAGAAACAAGGGTATTCTGATACAGATGAAATATGGATAGAAATCAGCCGATTTATAAGGAATTAATTATAAGTACAAGTTCCATCAAAAGGATTCCTACCAGTAATCTTACTGTGCTGGATTTCTAGTTGTTTCCTAAGTAAAGCTTAATATGGGGAATTCAGGTTGTCTCACTATTCATTAAAACAAACCAGGAGCCTGAAATACCTGAGTGATGAAGTAACATAATGTCATCTTTAGCATCTATGAAGACAGACACTATTCTGAATGATGTTCATTTCTTCATTGTATATGTTTCTGATTTGCTTTTATTCACTTTAAATTCAAATCCTTGATCGACTATTCATTGCACAAGAATTCTCGAATCAAATTTAAAGGATGGTGCATAGGTTATTTCTAACGACTTTGAAGTGTATAAAGGCAGTGATAGGTATGTATAAAGATTCTCATCTACTCTTACTCACAGTCCACAGACAAAGCACTCATCAAGTGTTTGATAATGTTAACTTAATTCGATGAAGAGTCCTACTGAAATTTATGAATACAATAAATTCCGTTTATATAACGTTTGTTGTTTAAGTTTATCAATGTTTTTAGAGTAAAAGGAATTAAGTTGCAGTAAACTCACCAATTGCCCAAAAGTATTCAACGTGTAGTCTACAAAAAATAAATTCCATACTCATCTGACAGCGATAACCACCAATAAACATAGCTGCTGCAAGATAGAGACATAAAAAGCATCTGGGGAACTCGCGTTACACGTCAATTTTAAACAACGTCACTTTCCTCATCCTTAAGAAATGAAGCTTATTGTTTTCCGAAAGTAAGAGTGATATAATTGAATGAAGTGAATTTCTGTCCCTCTGTATCCCTCAAAGACAAATGTATTTCGTTTGTAAATAGGAAATAGGTGAGTCTGGAGACGATATGGAATAAATAATGATGAAACTGTTTAAGATAACTGTGATTGATTGAGTGATTCCACTGTAAGTAGGTTATGATTAAATAAAAAAGTAAATCTGGAGAAGCCTAAAGTATGGATCACTGATCTCCGGAATACTAGCTTGGTGTATTACTGTATCTCAACAGGTAGTTATAAGCATTATTTTGATGTTATGCAGTAACTGATACCCACAGTTTATACACAAAATTATTTTCAACTGGTACTTTTCTTCAACATTAACCAATCATACACTAGAAACGACGCTTTATGGTGATTTTTTTATACGTAAACTTTTATTTCTATATTTTTCAGTTGAACGATGTCACAGTGAGAATAACAAATTGTCAGTTGAGCAAAGATTACCAGAGAATTGGTTAGACATTGGAAAGCCTAAATCGAAGTAAGATGTTTGTTAAACGACAGACGCATCGTATCAGTGAACTTTATAATTACCATTTTTATGTTGCCCTTATATATATATATATATATATATATATATATATATATATATATATATATATATATATATTGAACATACAGTTGGCTATCAGGTTACCTTAAAATCGCACCTATCCATTATTCATACGTGAGAAAGGAGGAATTTGTCCTCTGATGACAAATTATACGACTGGTTTAAGCCTCTACCGGGAAACTTATTACTTATCTTTTACTATTTTACTCATTCCCGGTGATAAAAGACAGATTAATGTAGTGTCACTCTCACTTGGTTTATAATATTTTCAGTATGTTACGCTCTGTTTAAACAAAGTAAAACAGTCTTCTAAAAGTTTTTGAAATGGCTTAGGTTATATTGTGGAAGGTGGAAAATCTTGTGGTGACAAGAACATTCACGGGGTCCATGATGCTATCACTGAATATGCATCAGTGGTTTTAACACTTATCGTTGAACAAAGTAGTCTTCGCATATAAAATAGTTCGGACGAATTTCATTTGTTCACATTGTTGTGATTCATTCTCTGTGGTAGAAAAGATGTATAAGTGTGAAATATATTGTGTCGATTAAATAGCTCACAGGTATACATTCATGCATACAAATCAATCTTTCTTCATGATATATGCCCCGGCAACAGTAAAATATCCTTCTCTCGCTTTGTTGACTGTCATTACTAAGCAATATAGCAACGTCATTACTGCGTAAAAACAAAAACAATCTTTAAAAAACAGTGAAATAAAGTTATTACCTTCCAGATTACTGATTAGATGGCCATCAATACTAAACATTCTAGGTGCTAATGACTAGATAAAGAAGGATTAATTAGTTTGACAAATCGTCTGCAATAGTTAGCCATCGAGTCATTCAGGATAGCTTCTACCCACTGCCACTGAGTGTCTAACACATCGTTAATAAGCCTATTCACACTTAAACCTAATTAGACACTTTCGAACACGCTATTTATGTCTGATAAGATAAGGTTAGTTTATGTATGTCACTTAATTAGATGTATACACAGAGAGAAGAGAGAGAGAGAAGATGGCAAAATAAGACGTGACAAAGGCGGAGAGTGTTCTGTAGTAATCAGGAAAACTATTGTGGATAATTAAATTTTAACCAAAGGAGATTTCGTTGTACGTTGGTGAATAAATTTGTCAAAGAACATCAATCTTAATAGTGAATAGATCGGAAGTTAAATCCACAAGTTTACCTGCCTGACTTCCAACTAGTGTTGTGAGCACTAGCTACATTGTGCCTACCATACTCAAGGCAACTAGATGTGAATGATAAATCAATTCGTTTTATTTAGGTCTTAACAGCATTACCTGTAGGTTCCTGCAGCTACCATCACCTGCACTTCTATTACTACCATCTTTACCACCACCACCACTATTATTATCGTTATTACTCATGATAATAATAGTGGTGACAATAATAGTAATAATACTAATAATGTCAATTAGGAGTAGTAATTTCCGAGACCTTGATTTCACTGTTAACCACTAGACATCATTATTATCAAAATCGAAATAATATTGAGGCATCCGCACTGAAGCCCATATACCAACAGAGACTGATCGATTCAGTTTAATCAACAACGAGGTAATACAGGCAACATCATAGAAGTACTAATTTGCTTATTTACTCGAATGTTACCATGTCCCTGGGAATCAATATTTTTCATTTTCAGTTGTGTGACATGAAGTATCGTGACTTGTCAAATATACAATATTTTATTCGACCAATCGATACCAGTAGCGGAGCATATATATATATATATATATATATATATATATATATATATATATATATATATATATATATATATATAACTATTCATGTTTACCAATATGCTTCGTTAGTTTACAACACTTTTGAGTCAGAGACCACATCTTGTGATCTTGGCTGAGTGGTTTACAACGGAGACCCCGCAGATATCTCTGTTGGGTAGTCGAAAAACTGCTCAACTTTAAGAAATGGTAATGCTATTTGTAAATCGTCTGCATACCAATCATCCTAATACTCGGTTATGTTTGTTACTTGACACTGCATTTAATAAAATGTCTTTGGTACATCTTCTGATCTGTATCTGTAGTATTTGTTTTTGATAAAAGCCATAAAATTACCCCGGTATTCTATTTGACATCCTAAGACAACTGCAGATAGCGAAATGCTCATAACTACCAGTGACAACCGTAATAGGCTGACTTAACACTACTTCGTAATTGTCTAAACATGTAGTGTTTTCTGTATATCTATGATTGCTTCATTTGAATGGTGAGTTTTGAGCCCAACTACATATTTAAAACTGCTTTCTCATCTGTAATTTGCTTGGTGGTGGCCAACAGTGAAATCCAGAATGCCTGTTTTATCCCATTTCTTCAGTATACTACCATTTGGTAAGCATACAAACTTTTTTGAAGTACTTAAATAAGGATCGTCTGAAATGAAGCTTAGAGTTAATTGAAACTTCAGAAAAACAAACAGAAACATAACTTTGGCGATGATCCTACAGTGTGTTAAAGTTAAACGTTTGTCGATCGTAAATGGGATCAAAAAGGTTGAATTTGAAATGCTGCACAACAGTAACATGAAATTACTTATCATATGATAATGCACCAATCAAATATAAATTCCTTTTCTGTGTCTGTTTTGCTGAATCTGTAGGTAATGTCTTCTAACTTCAGTCAGCAAGGTAACAAACTGTTGTCATAAGTGAACTGAGAAATAAACACCGGTTACAAATGACCTATGAGTGTTTTGCACTACACCTTAGTATTAAGTCAGAACTAAATGTTGATTGGTAACTGAAAGATACCACATGTTTGCTGTCTGTTGCTATGATTTATCATCGAATATAATGTATTAGTGTAATTCAGTTAATTGTACAACAGTTATGAGGGGCTTACCCACTGGAGAAGCATTAGGCAATTAGGTTAGAATAATGGACTTTGTAGGGTGGTTTTCAACACATCATCATCATCATCATGTATATCATCTCCAACAATGATGTGATTGTAACAAGAGTTAACTAAATAATTTGCGCAAAGAAGAAAGACAGTGATTCATGGACAAGTAAACACGCCAACTCTTTAAATTATACCTAAGGAGGATTCTTTGATTCATGGACACCTGAGCAGTACACAGTTTCCAAGCAAAAACTAAGATATAGCCAGCATTATTTAATTTTGTTGCACTTGGTGTATCTTGATTAGGATTCTTCACTGACAAACGAATATAAAGTGTAATTGCCGATTTGCTTTTAACCGTCCTAACCAGAAGTAGCAGATTATGACATTCTGTAAAACTACTTCAATAGCAGAACTATGCGTTGGCACACCATAAGACTGTATCTAATTAATAATAAGTACAGCTATATCAACATTCACTTGTAAAAACCACTTTTTAAACCTTGTATTAGAAGTGTTTGTTTAGTATGAACGATTTGCTATTTATTCAAATATCTGATTTGAATTTTGAAAAAGCGACAACTCACTGAATAAATAAATAAATCTGATTTATTAAACGGTTAACTGACTGATTAGGCATATTTACATAAGAAAAGAACACGGAAGATAATTATATCATCGCAATAAGGTGCTTAAATTATGGCTATTTTTATTTATTATAGAACACTGAATGAATCAGATACGTTGACTACCATGGTAACAGCTGCTACCGCTAATTCCATTGTCAGCGATTGGCCTACCAGACCGAAATCAGAACCGATCTTGAAATTAACCAATCAGTTCACCACTGAATCAGAAATCGATACAAATAAGACAAATGTGAGTACTTGTATATGCATATATATATATATATATATATATATATATATATATATATATATATATATATATATATATATATATATGAATTAGTTATATTGTTTTCATATCTGAATTCTTGATTTGTGTTATGTCTTGTAAGCCTTCTGACTGACACCAAACAATCACTTTTGTTTATCATTTTGACTATCAGGGACAGCCGTGGTTTAGTATTTATACTGGGTGATAATTGAAGGTGAAATGAACATTTGGACTGCGGTCGGATTCGAACCATCGACCACCGGATTTCCGGCCCAGTGCTCTACTAACTGAGCTACGAGGTCTACCGGAAACCCGGCGGTCGACGGCTCGAATAGATAGACAGATTATCTACTTTACTGACCTATTTTGTCAGACATATATATGAGGGGCTGTTTACTCACAACAGTAAAGCAGGTTTAAATGAGAATTGAATAATGAGTGCAAACTATTCTCTAAATATCAGCTGCCGTTACACTTCAATCCTTAGTGTTGGTTTTTACCATCTAGGTGTTAAGGTTAACAGTCATAAGGTTATGAAATATGTCCCTGAAAAAAGTAGTATAAAATCAACCTTCTTGGCATACATATTAAAGTTCAGATGAATACAAGTGGTGTATTGTGGCTCTGAGTCAATGAAGAGGAGGATCACTGCAGCCCCGTCAGCTGTCATCTGTACCACAGCCAAACATGGAGATCCTCATGCTACAAGTTTCACTTTGTAACTGCGAAACAGACGGTCTTATTTATTAAGAATCAAGGTGTTTCTAACAGTGGCTGATGAAAGGCCTAACCATCCGTCAACACACAGAATTATTAATTACTCCTTAACACTCTTCAGAAAAAGCTCACCTCCATTATTTTACACACCTCTTTGATGTTGCGGTTTAGGACGCATCACCTTAAACAAATGCTGATTCTAAATGTGGTCTTTGTGTTATCTCACAAGTGCAGTCAGGATAAATTTGTCCATATAATGAACATATGCTTTAAAAAAGGAAAAGAGTAGTACGTAATATGGCAGTGTCAACATTCGGTCCGTAAGGATCAGAGGGAACTTTAATTTCATAAGGGATTCCTGCTGTAGAGACACAATTTCCATGTAAGAAAAACTTCCAATTCTTAGTCAATAGAAAGTGATGAATGTTTAAAAGAAAACTACTTTGTTACTTTTTAATGGACAGCTGGTATCTTCAGTCAATTATTATAAGGTTGAATAACCAAGTGACCATTTTTAATAGCAGTGTTGATGGACAATTGGCCCTAGCTCCCTAAAAAACATATTCACCGGTGTTTCTGATCTATTATAACGAGAATTAAACACCCCTTAAATTGCCCTTGACCATGAAACACGAAGCAGTTCTGTTTCTCCATATGAGACTAGTCTATTTGATATAGCACGCAGTAATATAGCAATGTATAATAGACAGTGTTTTGAACAGGGCTTATTGTTCATAACCTTGGTATAATTATGAGCAATAACTTCTGCTCAAAATGTCATCTAGTAAGTAATACCATATCATTATGTGATATGTCGAATACCACGGCTATCTCAGATAGTCAAAATGGTATATCGAATAGACTAATTTAATATAAAATACATTCTACCATAGTGCCCAAATCTTATAATTACAGATTCTTTTTTGTTACAACTCCAGGAAAATCTTCATATTCGTAAAAATCCATACAGACTAATACATTTTCATTCTCCCGATCTCGGAAAAAGGTGTGGATATTTATGATCCTGTTGAATATTTTGTAACGAATGCCTTCAGACTGGATGCAGATCTGAAAATTCACTCATTATTTTGGTTCTCTTTCAGATTCATAAAGTCAAAGCTCTTCAAAATCTTACCGATCCAACGAAAAATCACCAAGAGTAAGTAGCTTATGTGCCGTTTGTTATGTTCTGTAATAAGCTGAACTTTTTTTTCTAATATTTGGAACATGTTTCCAGTTTTGTTACGAACGCGAAAATAGCTATTTAAATGATAAACGTTTTATTAACATATGTGCATGTAGTCTACTTTTAATGTATTGAACACTTCCAATGAATTTTAAAGTGGATAAACTGGTGATCAGTTTTCAACTGAGTGAAGAATTCTCCAATTTCTAATCTGACTTACGGATTCTAGATTATGATAATTTTGGGAATCGTATCTAGCTCAGTAGGTCTGTCCCGTTTTACAGTTAGATGTCACTGGGGCAGTAACTCATCGCCTAAATCTCTTAACTTTTATTTGATGACGTCTGGGTTTACACTCCTCTCCATTTAGTCTGGTTTCATTAATCAGGTGGTAGTAAAAGTCTTCATATATTAAGTTTAGTAGGTAATTGTGTTCTGAGTAGATGAGTCACTAGATTCATTTTCCTGCTTCATGTGAAACAATGTACCTACACCTACTTGCTGAACCCTTTTTACCAGTCTGATCGTTACCTATACACACAATAATCACAGAAAATGAAGTTTTCCCTAATATCAATTTCAGTCAGTAAAAATAAAATATTCACTATATTTCCATAACTTAAGGGGTGTTTGATGCATCTTCATTAAACTCCGAAAGTTCTTACTGGCCATTTATTTGCCCAGTTTACATCATTACTAAAATATTAGTAAACAGAAGTCACATTGTTATCTGTCTATGTCGACATCTTACGGTATATAAACGCATATTAAGTACAGAGAAATCCTCTTTGTCTCTGTTACACACTCATACATCAAACATTGTGTAAATCAGTTTCTCAGTCATGTAAACAAATCTGTTTAATCTGTTATTAAGGCTTGTCATTAATTTGGCCATGATTATTATTTGTAACTGAGTCGTTAATCTGTATATCTTCGATTGTAATTATGTTATAATTTGCTTTTATTGACAATATATTTCACGGGTGATAATAATGGTTTATAAATATTTTACCGCTTAACATTCTCATCCCATACACACACCGCACAAAGGATACTTTAATGCAGACGTGTATGAATTTTAGTAAGGAGAAATGGGGGTTAGGATGACATGAGAGCGTAACGAAGACAGAAACATAATTCAACTATGACAAATATAACAACTAATTTACACTAATAATTTCCCCCCACATTATTAAATTAATGATACTATTATCATTATTACCGTCATCGATCTGGTTACCGATAAACAAACAATTAAACATATGTACATGTGTGCACAACTGACCCTAGCCGAATAATCACAATTAACCCTTAAGTTCAAGATCGGATCCCTATTGTTGCATAAGAAATCAATAGAAGTGAGTGAATCATGCTACGAATGAATAAATGGAGAAAAGCGGTATGAACAATGAACAATTTCATAAACGTTATAAATACAAGCTCATATATTACTGATAGACAAACATGTAAACATCTGTTTGTCTACCGGTAGTAGTGGGGGTAGTAGTGTTTTTTTAAACAGTCTTTGACCTTATCATCAAAGTGAAAACACTAATGTGATACCAACTAATTCCGACTCTCCCTCCCGTTTTCATGTCACATGCCTCTCCTCATTTAGTTTATATAATCCTTAATCTAATTATGCATACTTTATGAAGGAACACAATTGTGTGTGTTTGCTAGTCTAGAGAGGTGATGTAATGTATATAACATTCCCGATATTCTTATCGCTTATCTCTTGAATGTTATTCACATGAGCGAATGTATAATCATGAATAACAAATAACAATAATATTCTGATTATGAAATACCTCATTATCTTATTGATAATTGACCAACTAATCAACTCTACGTTATCTAAGTACTTTGTAGACTTAAAAATATATTCATACTATAAAGAGGACTTGTCACTTAAGAATACGTTTGATTTTTAATTTTAACGGGTAACTTATTCCAAAATTGTGACCGTAATGTTACTGAAAGTTTTGCTGCCAACAGCTTCACACCCAAGAACATCTCTATCTAAACTTCCGTTTCCCAAGCTGAAAATATTTACATTTATTAGATGCTACGAGTCAATCAGTGGGAAACTCCACTGACTTCGTGAGTCTTAGCACTCTTCGAAAAAGACATAACTACAATGTTCGGAATTTTTAATGTCAGTCCCTCAGAACTGAGCTACTCACATTCCGACTAACCTTATGTAGGGCTGGACTCATCAAAATGGATCGACAGCTATCAGTTCCATTGGTTGTCATAATATGATTCTTTTCGGAGGTTTATGAAGAACGATTGATTTTAGAATAGTATTCATCACGGACTGACATCAGTTGGAGGAACACTTGAAACATGAGAGCGCTAGACATCTATTTCGTCCTAGTATAGGACTCCTCAACAGTAGGCACCCATGACCCCTCTGGGGTTCGAACCCAGGACCTTCAGGCTCCGTAGCCAGTGCCCCCAGATTTCCAATGTTCCTCCAACTGATGTCAGTCCATGATGAATCCCAAACTAAAATCAGTTGATAACCCTCCACAAACCTCCAGATAGAACTAATTTAGCGCTCATTTGTGACTAGCTTCGAGAGGTGATTCCCGAAGTTCCAATGAGAAGTCCTGACCAGTGGAGTTAGCGAAGTCGAACATCAGGATACTTACTCAATGATGACATGGGATGTAGGTTGCGCTGTTTCGTGAATTAACAGAAGGAAATGTGGACGACTGGATTCCGACCCAGTGGCTCACTGATAGCGTGCTGGCCACGGAACCTGAAGGTCCTGGGTTCGAATCCTAGCGAGGCGAGGTTATAGATGCGTCTTGCTGAGGATTCCCACACTAAGACGAAACAGATATCCATTGCTCCCAGGTTTCCAATGTTCCTTCAAGTGATGTCAGTCCATGATAAATCCCAACCTAAAATCAATTAATAAACTTCCACAAACTCCCAGATAGAATGAATCGAGGATCGCCAGTTCTCGCACTAAGTACATTACGGTTCAGCAACTAGGTCATAATCCAGAGGTTCACATTTTCTTAGTTCTATCGATTCGTGATACATGACGAACGTCATCCAATGCCATTAGCAAGTACTTGTCACCATACCCGACCTTGTTGACCCCACAGACCTCAGCTTCTTACTAAAACTTCAGGAAATCGGTTTCGAAGCATGAAGACAGAAGTTTCAGTTTACAGGTTTGTGAGGGTTATGGATGTGTACTGGCATGGAGTCTGAGACTAGGACGAAACAGATGTTCAGTAGTCTGACGTTCTCAATGGTTCTCCAGCTGATGTCAGTCTGACCACTACCCTGAGGTCATTATATGATAAGTTTCTTTATAGCCATTATGTTAATGACAGTGAACATGAACAGATTTACTTTCAGCTGACATACAAGTAAATATAGCTTTCCTCTGTCGCTAACACGTAGTTTCTTTTGCACACTGCTGACACTCACAAACAAAATTGCTGTATATTTCTTTTCCGATGGAAGATGTAGATAGGTGAAAATAAATCAATAATGTATTGAAAACATTGGATGGTATGATGTTTTTGATTGCTCAATAACAATAGTTTAGAAAACTATTTGAAGTTTACAAGTAACTGACAATTGTTTTGCTGCAAAAATGCACATGTATTGGTGAATACTAGGTGATGATATAACGACTTTCTAGGGTAACTGTACACTGTCTGATGTTTTTTCTGTAGATATCAGTTAATGTATGTCACTTTCGATACAAGGACATTACGACTGCATCCGACAAAGCCAACGATAACACTGTGTTCCTCATTGCCCTTTGATTAGGATAGTGCAAGTGGGGATTTAGTGAAGCTGAGAAAAGAAAAACAGGAGTTCTGGAGTAAGAGGTTACATGATAATAAACTTACTGTGCCAGCTCAATGTCTACGACGTTCCATTGCTAGACGTCAATCATGTTCACATTTGATAGGCACAAAACCTCCACTGAACAAATGTTCATTGCCTCCGAACTTTCAATTATTCTCTAATTGAATTCATCCCACTGTGAAAACTAACTTGAAACTTAAAAGACTTTTCAGTTGATAATTAGATTTATATCTGTTCATGAAGGTGATTCTTCAAAACTATTCACTTTTATGTACTTATTCGAAGAAATGATGCTGAAAGGAAACCAGATTTTAAAAAAGTAATGATATGAATGAGAACAGAAAAAGTAACAGTACATATCTAACCTTGTGTTTATAGCCGAAGGAGCATTTTTATCTTTTGTACAAGGAGTAAAATCTAATCAGACAATAAAAATCCAACCATCTGATAAAAAATTAAACCGAACTGATAGAAAGCAGCATGTGATTGACTCCTGAAAGCAAATGATGTATACTCAATACCATTAGTGTATTGAAGCTCATTAGGTAATAGCAAAATACTGAAAGGAGTGTCTGAAAGATCATTATTATTGAGGTGCTTGACATTATGTCAAAAAACTAAATGATTTGTTTTTAGTGGAGCAAGAGTATTGAGAATATTTAAGCAAAATTAAAACAACTTTGCAGCTTAAAAAAGAATAAAGTCTTTATAAACTGAAGTCAGTAATATTTACATTTCATAATCATGGTTTCGAGTGAAGTTTAGGCTTAAAGTATAATTTCATGTCAGTGCTGGTAATCAACATTTACAATGATCGACAAGCAAGGACAAATTTACAGTGTTTATTCACTAAAGAGCAACCAAATTCATGTAGTCTAACCTTGAGTACAGATCGAATTCTATAAATCACTTCATTATATGGCCACCAAGCTAAGAGGCTGAGCTTCATGTTGCACTTTGATGGACGTTAAGTGGTTGGACGCAGTCGGTGAGAAATCCTCAACCTGGGTTTCATGCTTGGCACTCATCAGCAAGGGAAGTCTGTAACCTCGATGGAACTGATATCCTCTGTGAGACTGGAACCCACGTCATCCAGTGCTGTAGTCAGCCGCGTCACTACTGAGGTATGC